TATCATTCAAATATCAAATGACAGGTATGATACAAGAATATGAAATTTAAATAGCAAAAGTAAGTTTCAAATTACTTAAAACTTTCAAATATCGGGACAAGAAATAGCGGATATGAAAAGAGAACGGACGGGTAATTTAATTAGTTAATTACAGGCTATATAATGTTATTTTTAAAACAGAAAACATGTAAATGATGTCATTTATAATAAAAAAAATATGATCTTATCTTATAGGGAAAGAACGGGTACAAAAAAGGAACGAGTAATTAAAAAATGTATATAAATGAATTCTCATCAAAAACAAGATGATATACAAAATTTGGAAACTTCAATTCAATTTCAACTTTCAAATATCAAATGACTGGTATGATACAGGAATATGAAATTTAAATAGCAAAAGTAAGTTTCAAATTACTTAAATATTTCAAATATCGGGACAAGAATAACGGATACGGAAAGATAACGGTAATTTAGAAAATAAAAATTATTATCTTAACTAAGTCTAATATTATACAGAGAGAATTATGGGTAACATTCAAGAAGACATATTACTTATTCATATGGGTGGGCCAAAATATTTTACTTTGTTGCACGACATGTATAGTGAACGGGTTTGACTCTCTTGACATCTATATTTATGTTATTTTATTCAAAAGTTTTAATGTTTTCTATTGTTTTTATGTGATGTAATAGTTCGCAAATTTAATTGATTTCTAACTTATCATTAATTTGATTCACACTCGATCCGGATTTCTTATCATGTCGGTCCGAATATTGCAAACTTTATGATAAATTTAAATTTTGCAATCATCCCCGCACTTACGTGCGGGTCCATCCCTAGTAGTATTTTAATTTCAATCAACTAAACATATATATAATTTTTATAAAATCAAACATGTACGTCGAGGTACTTTGAAATGTTTGTGTTTCATAAATATAGTGATTCACAATTAACACAAAATAGAAAATATTGATACTGCATATGCCATGTGCGCAACTTCTTCTTGAGATAAACTCCAATTAGCTTTCTATACGTCCATTTTGTCCGTGGACTGAACTCCAAAACAGCTTCTGAGCTAAGATGGAAATCCCCTTTCCCCAGTACTTCAAATGCAAGTGGATCAGTTAAGACAGCAGGAGAGTCGTCCAAGTTCATTCGGTTGTACACAAACTCCAAATTTCTTGCTAGTCGCCTATCCATGTATGCATCAACCACACATCCGAAAGTCACAAGATCTGGAACAATGTTCAAACGTCTCATATGTTCAAGAGTGAGATGTAAATCCCAAAAAAGAGCCATTCTAGAAAACGCAAGGGCACGAATGTTAAACGTGGTAAGGTCAGGAGAGAAACCCGCATCAAGCATTCCAATAAACTCTCTCTGCAAGCTTTTCATCTTAAAGTCAGCTGCATATGAAAGTAATACAGAATTCCACAACAGATTCCCAAGGTTTCTTCTACAAAGACCAACATCTGACAAAAACTCACGTAGCCGATAAAACTTCCTTAGTTTTAAGTATGCTAGCAACACAGCTCTTATCTCTTCATCCTCTATCACAATTCCAAACTTCCTAAGCCGGCCATAAGCATGCTCCATCTTATCTAAAGTACCAAAAGAACTATAGTGTCTAACAATCGCATTGGCAGTGGCGGAATCTAACGGCATTCCCCTTATATCCAATTCCTCTATAATTCCGTCCATCAATTCAAACTGACCATTCTCTCCAAAACAGGACACAGCAAGTGAATACACAGAGGGAAGCAGCTTAGAGTACCTTGCTTCTACATCCTTGATGATCTTAGCAACTTCATCTAAAGAACCAACCTTCACATAAGCAGAAATAAGCTTTGATATAAAAATGAGATCAGGCTCCAAAGAGCTGTTCAACATCTCATCCCAAATCGTACGTGCTCGATTAACAAACCCATTTTCAGCAAAACAAAGCATAAGAGCACAAAGTGTTCGGTAATTTGGCAACAAGTTATCTGATTTCGATTGGATAAAGATCTCATAAGCTACATCAGGCAATGTTCTTTGGCTTAAGTTTTGTACTAATGGAGCATAGTCTACGCTTTGTATCTTCCGACTGAAAACTCTTGATAGCTTTGACTCCTTGATCAACTGTACGATAGTAGCTACAAAAATCACTGATATGAAGTGAAGCAACACGAAATGAAGAAATTGGAGAAAGTGTAGGTGTAGGTACCTTTCGAGCGATTGAGGGAGGAGAATTCTCCATGTAACAAGATAAGAGCTTGAGAGGTTGGGTTAGGGATGTTGTCATGGGTAATAAACCCCGGCCAATGCCCGAACCCGAAAAACACCTGCCCATATAGAAACCGAATTTAAAAAACTCGTTCGGGTTTTAGATACTGTGGGTATAATTTATAGAATTCATTCAATGTAATCATAGTTCACAACATGGAACAAAACTTTAGAGTTTAACTCGCGTCATTTGTCTTAAGTCACTAAACAATGTATCAATAGACCGAGAGTTTAACAGTAACGAGCTAGCGTCAAATACAAACGAGACTAAGGAGACAAGAGTGACTGAAGTGAATGAAGAAACTAAGAAGAAGAACCAGACTAGAGTGACTGAATAAACTAAGAAGAAGTTACAAACGATATGATTTAGTGGACTATATGCACAAACCAGACAACACATAAAACACGAATTCTCATACTTATGAAAAAACAATTACAGTCCAATTTCTGAGCTTAAACAGATGACCAACCATATTTAGTATCATATAGAAAACGTAAAACATTAAACTTATAAAACCCAAATCAAAGCAACAACATTAAACATATAATGTTTGGTTTAGTACCAAAACCAAACACTAAAGTAATCAAACCCAAATCATAGTGCTTTAAGCAAAAAAAAAGAACATACATCTGTAACAGTAAGACTTTAAAACTAACAACAAGAAAAGGGTTTTAAAAGAACTAAGCAGAGGAGAAAAGGGTTGCCTCAGATCTTCGCCAGATTGCAACTTTGGGAGTAGAGAGACAGCAAAGAAAGTTCCAGATCGAGATCTACGCTAGAGCAAAAGCAACAGTTAAGAGTAGGAGGCAGAAGTTGGATTTCATAAACAAGAACCATTAGCAAAAGCATAAACTCTGCAACAACAACCACAACTACATTATCAATTAAAGCGGAAATAGGCATAAAAAGCTGATGTCTAAGCTGCAAATGATGGTCTAAGAGCAAAATTGTAAGAAGAAAGCATCAAAAACTCACGGACCAGTGTCACAAAACCATTGCGAAAATACAAAACCAACACAAACCATTGCAAAATCAACAAAAGAACAAGAAATTCATTTTGCGATCATAGAAAAGCATGTGAAAAGAACTCAAAGATGAAGCTGAGGTTTCGTTTTCCTACTTGTGTGTAATCCAGAGTCTAGAGTCTAGCCAAAAGGTTCTCACTTTACCAAATAATCAAAGACCCTTTGCATTCTAATCCCACCCTTCCTTTACATGTAAGCTTATCAAAATTATTTAAACGAAATCTGTCTACCGTTAGCTTTTATGATCAAAAACCAAAGTGAATATAACAAAAGCTCATTGTCTACATCAACATTTCAGTAAAGGAGATTATACGATGACTTTACCAAATAGTTAAAGATAGGGTTCAAAAACCAATACCTGATAGGGGGGGGGGGGGAGTTGAAGCTCTACGTCCTGAAAGTAGAAGAGGAGAGAGGAAAATCTGCGGTATGGTACTGTGGTGGGAGAGGAATCAAGCCGATCTCCGGCGAGGAGAGAGAGAGAGAGAGAGAGAGGGAGAGAGAGAGAGATTTGGGCTTGAGAGGCTAATTTAGTGAATATTTGGGCCTATTAATGGGCTTTCAAAAACAAAGGATTTGGTTTAAATTTTTTTTTTTTTAATTTAGTTAACTTATGATTATATTATCTATATTATTAAAGGAGTAGTCGAAAGTGCTCACATTCAATCTCACAAAAATATTACTAAGTTACCCTTAATGAAAAATATCCCTAATTGTAATCTTTTCCTTAATCCTTAATTAATTAAAACAAAAAAAATTAAAATCGGCTCTTTGCAAGACAAAATCGAAAATTAAGTTAAGACCGGGTTACTGTTTTACCCTTAATGAAAAAATACACCTAACTTAAAAGTTTATAAAGCTTAAGTTAGAACTTAATTAATCTAAACCTAACAATAAAAATTGGAAATTTTTAGCCCAAAATCGAAAACCTATACCTAAAGCCGAAAAAGTCTAAATTTAGGGTTTAGAGGAAACAGGCTTACGTAAAAAAAGCCCGTTAACAAAAAACACGACCTAAGTTGAAACCCTAAAAAAAACACTTATATAATTACTAGGGTTTCTATGCTATCCCCATAACTAAAAAAAGTAGATCTTTAGTTTTTTGTTATGTTCGTAGAATTATTCTTTCATTATGAACTTTGTTCTTGCTTTTATTCATCATCATCTAATTTTCGTATTCCTGTTCGTGTAGGGGTTGTTTGGAAGGTAATGTCAAAGAATACCATATCTTTGTCTATGGTTACATCACCTTTCGATCTAGGTATTTCAATTTTTGTTTAAATTTTAGATTGATTATTCATTAAAATTATATATTTCGTTGTTATATTGGTTGTTTTGTTGTAGACGATGTTTGAGAAGACGTTACATTGCTATCTACAAATTCAATATCTAAACTGCAAGGTTGGATGGAAAACAATTCGATGGATGGTATACTGAACTTTGTTCTTTCTTTTATTCATCATCCTCTAATTTCCGTTTTCCTGTTCGTGTAGGGGTTGTTTGTAAGTTAATGTCAAAGAATACCGCACCTTTGTCTATGGTTACACCACCTTATGGTTTAGGTATTTTAATTTTTGTTTAAATTTTAGATTGATTATTCATAAAATTTTTATATTTAGTTGTTATATTGGTTGTTTTGTTGTAGACGATGTCAGAGAAGATGTTACATTGCTATCTACAAATTCAAGATCTAAACTACAAAGTTGGATGGAAAGCAATTCGATGGATGGTGATCCAAGGAAGTACAAATATGAAGAATTTTCAAGAGAGTTTGTTTGGTGTACTCAACATAATCAGTGGAAGCAAAGATCCCAAAAAAAGGAGAAAGACAACTATAATTCATTCAGCTTTGTTGATCATTATAATTGTATTTTAATGCTTTATGATGCATCTTCCATTTTCCGCAAAAAATAATGTTGCTGTATTTTACCCATTAGCGTCTAAAATTTTTAGTTTAATACAATGCGTTTTTTATAATCATTAATGGATTAACTCTGAAACATAGACATCATCAGCTAACCCTATATTCAAATATTTAATATTACTCGCTAAAGAAATTTGCGTCGATTAATTTCTTTAGCATAATGTAAAATTAAAATTGACTATATTTTATATTATAATACCGCTATATTACAACTAAATCCGCTATATTACAATTAATTAAGTTTAATTTAATAAGAAAGATTTTTGGGGTTTTATAATTAGTACATAGAACAAAATAAAGCAGAATAAAAGAAGACGATACATACAAATTATTATTAAATTTTCATTAGAAGACGATATTAATTAATGATTTATATAAAATCGTTGACTAATATCGTTGAACAAACTATTTTACTAATCTTGAAAATATCTTCTAGATGTATAATTAGTTTGTACCTTAATTATTAAACAGTCGTTCAAAACTATTAAAATTTAACGATCGAATAAAATAATTAAGGGTTAGTTTACTAAATATGAGAATGATAAAGATAGATATATTGATTAGCCTACGTAAGTTTATCCTCTGAAATAATAAATATTTATATATTAATTCTATACATCCAAGTTTGAAAATATACTCAAACTATATATCCGATATATATCAGAAATTTATATGTAGATATAACAATTTAAAACGATAAACATGTTAATAATTAGTGGTTCCATATAGGAAATTTCACAATAATACATATTGTATATACTATAGATTTTTTTCTTTATTCATACTCAGTTTGAACTTATCTTCATCGTTTCTAAAGAGTTTAAACCAAGATAAATATAAATTTTACATATTGATAATGATAAATATAGAAAGACAGATTATAAAAAAATAAAAGATTTAAGTTAAAGATAAATGTCCATATTAATAAAGGACATTGTTTATAATGAGGATGTGTGTATATATATTTGGCCATTCATTGTCTAAACTTTCAAATATCGGAACATTTACTAGGGTTAGGTTTTATTTCATTATTCAACTTTATGATAAAAACAATTTCTGATCATTGTTTCGATAGCTATACTAATATGTTTCTATGGTTATACAGGTTTTATTATGGTGAAGAACCATCCTGTTGATGGTGTGTCACGTTTGAATCCTTCGAAATATGACTGGAAAATTCAGGTGAAAGTGTTATGTTTATGGGAGGAGAATTGTTTAAAACTTGGACCAAGTTTGGAGATGGTGATCGTCGATATTCAGGTTTGATATTTTCTTAAATAACGTGCGTTTTTAAAAATTATTTTAACTAAAACTAAAAACTCTTACATCTCATGATTATATACTATAATCTTTCTTAACCAGTATATTCACTTTTGTAGGGTGAGAAGGTTCATTGTTCCTTCCGTGGTATTCTTTATGATAGATATATTTTCAAGTTTGCTGTTGGTGATTGGCTTGAAATCGAGAACTTCAAGGTTGTGGATCAATATGGGTCTTGCAAAACTACTACTCATCGATACAAAGTTATTATTTTGTGTCAAACCATGATTAAGAAGGCCATGATTGTTGGAGGTGGAGAGTATTTTGATTTTATCGATTATAAACATATATTGGATGGTTCTTATTGTGATGATTACTTGGTTGGTAAGTTACTTAAACATTGTGTTTAGGGTTTACTATAAATATAATTTCTTTCTATTTCCTAAATTAGTTTTCATTAGGGTTTGTATTCGTACTGATTATTTTCATTTATTATAGATGTCATTGGAGAGGTTATACACGTGGGAAAGTTCGATAATTGGGATCATGTAGACGGCGACGATGAGCAGAAGGATCGCGTTCAAGTTGTGTCTAAATCAAGTTCCGTCTATGTTCGTCATCTCTTTAAGTTTATTTGCCGAGATGGACTGCCTAACAAGGGATACACTTCCAACTCCGTCGTCTTTATGATTCTGAGGTCGAAGATTCTGACGATGATAGTTCGTGCAGTGATGATATTGACGACGAAGGAGATGCAATGGATGAAGACTATGAGCAAGAGGAAGACGAAGAGGATGAAGAAGATGAAGGTTTTTATGATATAATGGACATTGAAAAGGATGGATATATGAATGATGGATATGGCGATGTTGATAATAGTGAAGAAGAAGAACATGAAAGCGATGAATCGGAGACTGAAACTGATGGCTATGATGATGGTGATAGCGATGAAGATGATACTGGTTATAATGATACACAAGAAGGAACAGATGGAGAGGAGGAATATGATGCAAGTGAATCTAATGAAGATGACGACCAAAAAGAAGCGGATGTTTGTAATCAAACTGTGGACGAAGAGGTCGATGATAAAAAGGAGTATTCTATACATAATAATATTTGTTTTTATCTTCGAAACACTAGGTATTTGATTCTAACTATTCAAGCGTCTAATATCGTCCATTTTCAT